TAGCTCTTCTGGTCTCAGGGACAACCTTGCTTTTGGCTTCTCCAGTATTAAGATGCAGGGGTGGGGGGAAAGGCTGATGGTAGGCAGGATTTCTGATCTCAGACCACTGGCCAAGTGTGGCCAATTTGTTTTGGGGTGACCAGAGTATAGCGGTCCGAGCCAAGGGGAGGGGGAGTGATGACAAGGTGGTACCTATATGTCAACCCATGCCCCTCCATGGGAATGAATGAATCTTGTACCTTCCTGTCTTGACTGAGGGCCCTGGGGACATATTCCTTACCATTATTTCTTGGCTCCTGAAAGAACATTTGTGTTGTAAAAGTGAACCGAGGGTGGGTCTTCTTGCCTCCCTGCAGACCCACGACATCTTGGGGAATCCTAATGTCCCCATATCATGGATGGGGAAATTGAGTGAGAGAGTGAGACAGTGACTGGGCCAGGACTTGAACTAGATCTTTCTGCTTCCAGGGTGCCCACACTAACACACACCACAAATGAGCTGTGGCTCTGCTCCCAGGGGCTTAACGAGGCTATGGATATGGAGTCAATAGAAATCGTAGGGATCCTACAGGACAGAGCAGACCCGCTGCACCAGGATGCCTAGGTTATCGATCTTTAAGGAAGCAGACAGCCTCATCTTTGTCTCTAGGAGTGGCTAGTGGGTTTCCTCTGACTTGACGGCTAGTGGCTCAATGTTTAACCCACTGCACCACAAGTCCCCACCCCCACCCCCCGCCCTCTGTGTGCGCGCGTGCACACACACCCCAAACACACAGGAAAGCCAATCAGTGAGCAAGCAGGAGAGCTCAGAGGACATCCTGGACTGTGATGGGGAGACAGAGGGGTCAGGGAGGGTGTCCCATGGGAGCAGAAGAAGTCAGGCTGGTGGCAGGTGGATATGTTGGTGCCTTGCCACTGGAGCATTTTATAGGTGAGGTGGGGAGAGGGGACAGGGAGACCCCGGGAGGCAGGGGCTAATGGGCAACTCTGCTGGAGCCGTGACTGACAGTGGAACCTGTAACAGAACTCAAGACAGAGGAGGGGGACTGTCCTTCCTGGGGACCCCTCTCAGCACCCTCACAGGGCTGACTGGCAGCCTCTAGGTCCCTTCAAACGCAGAAGCCTCAGAGGGCTCCTCTTATAGAGCTCTGCCCCCAAATACCACCACCGTGACAATATATCTTGCCAAGGCCTCTCTATCTGATTGGAGCACTATGCGCCCCCCCCCCCCCAAGTCTGCCCCCAGTCTTGAGACTCTAACACCCTGTTGACCACCCTGCCAGAGACCTCCAGACACATGCAAACAGACATGCGCAGTACAGCGCCCTCTGCCAATCCTGTAACTACACAGAATCCAGAAGGGACGCTGCCCAGGTCAGCAAGGAAAGTGCCTCAGATGGGCCACAGGGGCAAGAGGCTGGCTGAGGCCTTGCTCTGCATGGGGGCCTCAGTAGCCATGCCTATGAGAAGGCAATGAGATGGGGGGATGAGGGGCTGTCTGTGCCATTCCCAACATGGGCACAAATAAGGAGCCAAAGCCAGTGGACAGGGGAAGCTCTCACAATACACACTCGAAGACGGAGGGGCAATAGCTGATCCTGGCACATCCCGTCCCCAGTCCCTGTCCCGGTCCACTGTGACAATACACCCACTGCCTCTACACCTCTCCCCACCATGCAGAGGAGAACACTAAGGCACAGGCCCCGTCCTCCCCCAGGGCTGAGCAGAGTCCACCCCAGGACCAGGAACCCCGGACCACGGTTAGAGAGTCCCTCTAACCACCTAACTACCCCACAGATTGGCCTTTGGGCCAGCCTGTGGCAAGTGTGCTGAAGAGGGCTTGCCCCAAGGATACCTGGCTCTTCTCCAGCTCTTTACCCAGGACAGAGCCGAGAGCAGTGGTTCTCAACCTGTGGGTCGCGACTCCTTTGGTGGTCGAACAACCCTTTCACAGGGGTCGCCTAATACCATCAGAAAACACATAAATATTTCACAATGTATAATTACATATTGTTTTGTGATTAATAACTATGCTTTAATTATGCCTAATTATGTTCAATTTGTAACAATGAAAATACATCCTGCATATCAGATATTTACATTACAACTCATAACAGTAGCAAAATTGCAGTTATATAGTAGCAATGAAAATAATTTTATGGTTGGGGGGTCACCACACCATGAGGAACTGTATTAAAGGGTCGCGGCATTAGGAACGTTGAGTACCACTGCTCTGGAGGAAGCACAGTCCTGGGCAACCCACTAGGCACCAGGCACCTGGCACCTGGGTCCCAGCTTGCAGAGAGGAAAGTCTAGAGGAGCCCCACCTGCCCAGGACAGTCCTGGATGCCCTCTGGTGGCCACACTTGGCTCTGCACTGCTTTGCCAAGAGGCTGCATCCCCTCAGACCCAATGGGGCAGTGGGAAGGGATGCTGGGGGCTGTGTGGGAGGGCATCAACTCTGTGCTCTGCTTTCCAGCCTGTGAAATAAACCAAGATGTGCAGCCCTCCAAGTGAGGGAGGTCCCCCCAAATATTTTGTCCCCATGTCCTCCTTCTGGTCCCCCCGGTTAGAGGGCACGTGGATGGGTTACCAAGATCTCTTCTTGGTCTTGGGGGAGGCTGGTGACCAAAGAATAGACATACCCCCATATCTAAGTCAGAACCCCTTGTTGCCACACCTATCTCTCTGCATGCGGGATGGCTCACTCTCAGTCCCTGACCCCACCTGCAGAATACACCCCGACTCCCCCCACTTATGCCCCTTCCACCCTCTGATCTAGCCAGGAGACACGAAGACACCAGGGGATGCTCAACGCTTTGGTGTGCCCAGCACCCTTAATCCCTATAGTTGTCCCAGACTCCTGGTCTTCTCAAGGACTGGGTCTGTCTCGGATGAGAGGGCATAGTGAAGCCACCCCAAAGCCCTGTGCAGCACAAACAGAGAGCAAGGACAAAAGCCCAACCCCGCTGCAGGGGGCTTACAGATGCAACGAGGGGTCCCAGACCTGAGGGGCCTACCCAAGAAGAAGCACCGGGATGGATGCTGGGGAGCCTGGTGGAAAATGGGGCCAGCTGTCATTTAGCACAGAAGCCCTGGTAGCATAGTGATTACATGTTGAGCTACAAGGCCAACAGTTCAAAACAACCAGCTGCAGGAAGAAGATGAGGCTTTCTACTCCTGTCAAGAGTTGGACTTGGAAACCCACAGGAGCAGTTCCACCCTGTCCTATAGGTGTTGCTGCGAGTGGGAATGGACTCAGTGGCCATGTGCTTGGTTTGTGGCTTTTGAATCACTTGTCAGACTGAGGGCCCAGGTCAGCTGGTACCCCTGAGGGCCCTCAGAAGGCAGGCTTAGCAGAGGTTGTGTCCTCCATCCTCCTCCTCACCAGGCTGAGTGGGGAGGGACACCCATCGCTAAGTTTATCCTGCCCTGTGTGGGGAGAGGAGGTCAGAGAGAGACAAGGAAAAGAAGTTATTATCATTTAGTTATACAAGCCCATACTCTGTGGCCATACCTAGAGGTCTGGATCCAACCGGCCAAGGCTGCCAGGAGGCCAAGGGAGAAAGCTCCAATTGTCCCTATGCTCAGCAGCGTCTCAGGTCCAGGGATAAAGCAGATCACTGGATGGGCAAGACCTGTTCTTGGATGGGGCATCTGGTGTTGCAGATAGAAGAGAGGTGGCAATGTTGATATAACACCCCCACCCCCACCTCTGGCTACACTTTAGGGTGAAGTCAGAGGGGTCTGTGGGAGGTGTAGGGGAGAAGGGTGGCAGTGAACCCCTTGTTTGTCCTCATCCCTAGAAGTTACCCCAACAGGCCCTAGCATCCTCATTACAGGAACCTCTGCATTTATGAATCATAACCCCTACACCTTGTGGCTGGTGAGATGGAGTGGCACTGGGAAGGGGTTGTATGAGAAGAGTGGACTAGAGCATCAGTGTTGGGCTGTTAACCACAATGTCAGCAGTTCAAACCCACCAGCTGCTGTGTGGGCAAAGATGAGGCTATCTCCCATAAAGATTTACAGCCTTGGAAGACCCCTGGGGTCACTAGGAGTCCCTACCACTGGATGGCAGTGAGTTTATTTGAATCTTTGTTAAGGTGTTTTTTTTAATTTCTTCCTACTTTCTAAACACAGCCAAATCTCAAAGAAAAGTGTGTACGTGGGGTGGGGGGACGGGTGGGGGGAAATGAGGGGGGGTAGCAGGTGACTCTTAAGTATTCCATTTCCACTCGGATACATAGCACAATTATCTAAATTTAAACCAAAAATTTGAAGGTCCTAGCCACCTGCCCAGAGCTATGGCTCCCAGCGAAAAACGGTGGGGCATCACCCAAGTGCCCAGCTTGAGCCTCCGCCCGCTGGGTAAGAGTCCCATCAGAAAGATGCAGGGGTGCGAGCGGGCTGCTCCAGTCGGGAAACCAGATGGGCGCCAGGAGGCGTTCTCTCTCTTGCCATACAGCAGCCCGGGGACACAACTGTGCCATTGCCTGTCCCGGGGTGCACCATCCCAGGGATGTTCCCTGGGCTCGACGCCCCTCTGGCCCTTGGAAAGTTTCCAGGGCTGTTAGGCCCAGCTTCCCAGGTGGGCATGGCTGCCAGGTCAGCCTGCATCTCCATTTCGGGGAGAAGGGGCGGTGCGGGGGCACACCGGTGGGCAGGGCAGAGACCCCCGCGGAGGTGCACAAAGGGACCTGCCTCTGCTGGCCTGAGTGTGTGTATGGCGGTGGGGGGCGGGCACCGCATCGGCCACGCAAGATGCCAGCTGGGCCATGGGATGGAGCTTGTCCGAGGTCTGCGCCCCCGCCCCGCGTCCCACCTCCACTCCAGGTCCCGGATCCACCCTGACACCGGGTGAGCCCCCACCCCCCACCCCAGGTCCAGGCGGGGACTCCGGAGCCCGGGCGGGCCTGCAGGCCCAGACCCCGCCCCCGGGCTCCCACCCCGACTGGACAGGGACCCGGGTTCCAGACCCCGCCCCTGCCGGAGCTTACCCGCGAGCGGCGTGGGCGGCTCAGCAGCGCGACCCTGGTCAGACGGACGGCCCGGGTCCCCCGGCGCGCAGCAGGCGGCGTTCTGGGGCGCGGCGCGGGACGCAAGCCAGGCTCCGGACGCGCGACGGGCGGGCAGGCACAGAGCTGGCCCTTCGCCGGCCCAACGCGCAGCCTGCGGGCCGCCCTCCCGGGCCGCACGGGCTCTGCCGGTGCGCAAAGCTGGCCGCGGCAGCGACGGGGCCTCGCGCCCCGCCCACCCGACCGCGAATTTTCCTATTGGCCGCCCGGCCCTGCGCCGTCCGGCTCCCAGCGCCGATTGGACGAACGAGCAGAGACGGCCACTTGCTATTGGGCCCCCGGCGTGACAGTTCCAGCCGACGCCCATCCTCCTCGCAGGCGGGTAGAGGCCCAGGCACCTGCCGGGACTGCTGCGGCGCGGCTGGAGGCCGCCCTCCGAGGGCTCGCTCGGATTTCCGAGCCGGAGTCCGAGGTGCCGCTTTGGTCCGCTTGGCCCCTGCCAGCGCCCTCTGTTCAACGGCCCCCTTCCCCTGAAGCCGCGCCTTCAAGAGACTAGTTGTATTCCTCACGCCGCCCACGAGGGGGCGTTCCACGGCTGTGCCCATTTTACCCGTGGGGAAGGTGAGGCTCTGTGGGGTTGGCGCCCACTTGAGGTTGTCGATTGCTTGGGGTCATTGGAGCTCAAATCCAGTGCGTCTGGCTCCACAGGCCTGTGGCTGTGGCCGGCTCACTGCATCCAGAGTTCCCACAGCTGGTAGGGTTGTGCAGCCTGGACTCTGCTTTTGGGGGAGGGGTGTAGTGTCTTGGAGAACAGGAGGGAGCTCTCATCCAGTTCCCCCATTCCGATGTCTGAATTTTCTCACATCTTGGGCCTGGCCCATCCTGCAAACCCTGAATGGGACATTTCTCCCATAGAACCCCCTTCATTGCACCCTATGGCTCCACTCGCATTCCCTCCCAACCCCTCCCAGGACCCACCCTGATGGCCTTTTTCCTCCACCCACCCAAATGGACTCCCGCACATCAGGGCAGAGTGTGATTGTACCATTTTCCTGCTGAGTGGACAGTCCCAACCATGTCCCTATAGTGACATCTGCTACACAAAAAAATGCCATTAGAATCCTCAGCCAGTTCCACTTAATTCTGTGGGGTGAGGGCACCAGCAGGAATAGCCCCCAGTAAGGCTTGTCTGGGGCTGTTTCTGAGATGCCACCATACTGCCCATTACAGTGCTAATCTGGGTGACCTCTGAGTTGGGATCAGACACTCATATCATCTCTATCCCCATTAAGAAGTCCCATGTGTTCACTCAAAAGTTACATGCTCTGTGGTAGTTACATAATCGGGTATCAATTTGAGGACTCAGAGTGAAGGGGTGAAATCTAGCCTGTCAATCAGGTCATAGCTTGATGACCTCATTTGGAGATGCTAAGGAGATAAGTAGCTCACTGGAGGCAGGAAACATGCTCACTGCCTGCGAGACATCCCTGTGGAGAAGACACGTGGAGAGAGGTGGATGGAGCCAGACCTCTGGAGAGGAGAAGCCACGTGGAGAACCCTTCCAGCGCTGAGATGCTTACGATGCCACTGGATCCACAATACTTCCCACCCATTGGCCTGTGATTTTCCTGCATTTGGCATTATTGCATGTGTTTCGTGAGTCTGAAGGGGACTTTATAGATCGATATCAGACTTAGGGACTTGATCTGGACTGGGCTGGGATGTTTTATCAATATTCAACTACTCTTGTATATAAAGTTCTTTGTTACACACATATGAGTGTCTATGGATTTGTTTCTCTAGTCTACCCAGACTAACACGCATGTTCAGAATAACAACAACAACAACAGAAAGTGAAAGGTTTTAGGGCAAGAGCTAGAATCTGCCTGTGCCCTGGTAGAAATAGTCAATCTCAGAAACTTTCCAGAGCCAGGCCCTTAAGATGAAAGACATTTTGCATCCCTAATAAGGGATGTGGCCTGTAGCTCTGGACAGGCGGGATGAAGTATCTCTTCCTGGAGCACAGAGGCTCTTGTGAGCAAGGTAGCTCTCAGCTGGTGGAATAGCACCATCATTGACTTTCTGTCCCAGCTTCTGTGTAGGCTGGGTGTTTGTTTTCCTTCATCGTAAAGAGTGACTTAGTTAGCCCATTTGTCCTGCCCATCTCACTAAGGACAGCATTATTGTTTAAATGAGTGGCATCCTCTGAACCACACATGTTCTAAATGTGAAAACTGTAACTGCTTGGAGGGACTGGTAAAAGCAGTAGGATACACTGAGGGCTGGCATCCTTGGGGGTCTGGTCCTCCTAGAGCAGTGGTTCTCAACCTGTGGGTCATGACCCCTTTGGGGGTCGAACAACCCTTTCACAGGGGTCACTTGATTCATAACAGTAGCAAAATGGCAGTTATGAAGTAGCAACAAAAATAATTTTATGGTGGGGGGGTCACCACAACATGAGGAACTGTATTAAAGGGTCGCGGCATTCATTAGTAAGGTTGAGAACCACTGTCCTAGAGTGACCTCTTCTCAGCAGTGACCTCCCAACCCAGCACTGCCCCCTCTCCATGTATTTGCTGATGGTAGCAGGGCATCCACATAGACTTTTGCTGAGGGTCAAGAGAGATCAGCCACCCAAACCAGCCAAACTTAGGATTCTGGGTGATTGGGCACCTGTCTTAGGTTGAGTTCTCTAGAGAAGTAAAAGCCAGTGAAGCTTATGTATGTGTATACACAGAGAGACTTATTTCAAGGAAATGACTCACAGGTTGTAGAGGCTCACAATTTCTAAGTCCATGGATCCAGATGTCAGGCTGGAGGGTTTTCTTGGCTTATGTTGCTACAGGGCCTGATGATCCCAAGATGGGCAGGTCAGATGGAAGGCTGCTGATGACTCAGGATCAGCAGGTGATATGGCAGATCACTGACTCAAATCTGAAGAACTGGAAGTAGATGATCCAGCAAATGCAGGAACAATGCACAGCAAAAGGCAAGCAAGCTTTTCTACATTGGGTGGGGGGGTGGGTGGAGGGGAGGCTGGGTGCAGTATACTTTATTGATGGTACATGACAAGATTAGGCTCTCTAAGCCCCTCCCCTTTTTCAGGGGGTCTGGGTGGAAACTGGAGATGATGGCACATTCTCAGTGTGTTGGGGGATAGAACAGGAGCAAAGCCTCCCCTGCAGTGGATGCTCTTTCATCCTCTAGTGTTATTACTGGGGCTGCTGGTCCAGGGGGACTCTCATTTATTAGAGGCCATGTGGACCATGAGGACCACCACTCTGTTGCTGTAGCCAAATTCATTGTCATACCAGGAAATGAACTTGACAAAGTGGTCATTGAGGGCAATGCCAGCCTCAGCACCAAAGGTGGAAGAGTGGGGGTCACTGTTGATGTCACAGGAGACAACCTGGTCCTCTGTGTAGTCCAGGAGGCCCTTTAGAGGACCATCTGACACCTGCTTCACCACCACCTTCCTGTCATCATTGTGGTAGTTGCCGACATAATTTTGTGTCAACTTGAAGGGTGTATGAATGTCTCTGGATTTGTTTCGCTAGCCAACCCAGCATAACACATATGGTACCTGGGGAGTGGGGTACTAGAGAAACAAATCATGGAGATGGAGGGTGGGGAAATCACCCCTTTAACTTCTCTGAGACCGTGCTGCATAATCAAAATGGCTGACAGAAGGCCTCACCCTGGCTTGATACAAGAGACTTAAGGCCATATTGCATATGAATGGGATAATTTAGATAAGGATTGACTTTGACTCTTAAGAATGTGTTTATGATCTGTCTGTACTAGGTTTATACTGATTTCTTCTGTCTATTATTATTGAAATAGTGTGTAATAGAAATAATTATTGGGAAGTATGATACAACACTTGATCTTAGCCAAAAGGCTGAGAAGCAATGGACAATATAAAAATAGAGAATTTGTATGCCACTACCTTCAGCCATTAAATTGGATCTTTAAATGGGTGGAGGATATGCCTGAAAAGAAGGTTCTGAAAAGATAAGCCCCACCCAGTTCCTTGAGTGCTCAGTACATTTGCACTTGAAAAGACTTGCTGAGAGGGCTGTTGACAGACTGAAGGAAAAAAAAAGGAGCCCTTTGCCTTTTTGAATTTTGAACTAGTGGATTGTGCCTGAAGCTGGGGGGAAAATGGAGCTAAGAAGAAACTCTTCTCTAGGGATTGAAAGTTAAAGAGAGCCTGTGGACAGCCTGAAAAGCTCACTAGGTGACCACCTGGATCCACTTTTTCAGTTGAAATGGGAGAAAAGCAACAATACAGAGATGGGTTGAGTTTGGCCACTGACACCCATGAACATGGTTCACAGGGATTAGAGGAGAATATGAGAGTGGGTTGGCTGGTCTGAAGTTTAAAGAGTTGTGTGGAACCTGAGTCTGTGGCATGACCTAACCCATGGGGGTTGGGGTTGCTGAGAATTTGTGATGGGGGCTCATGGTCGGAAGGCGAGGCAGCCAATGGGCACATGGCTAAGCAAGGTGGCCCACATTGAGTTGACCAGATCCTAACCAGAAGAAGATAAGATTTTTGAGCCTGTGAATTGGTGCATTTTGCTGCTGACTTTGTGGAAGGCCTGCCCTGATTTGACTTTGCTTTATGGATTTGGACTCACGAGGTTCCTACTGAAATGAAGATTTAAGAACATGCTTATCTCCTCAGAGCAGTGAGTTGATGTAAGTAGGCAGTATAGAAATTGGATACCCAAAATGGGGAGGATAAAGGCATGAAGTGGCTGGCTTATAAACTTTCATGGGTGAGGGAATAATTTGAATAGGATTATGATGTAGATGTTCACATAACTGCAATTGGGTTTTTGTGTGTGTGCGTGTTTTTTGCAATTGTTAAGTATAGGATATTTTTGTTTTGTTCACTTATAGGATATTATGTTTAAATGAGGCTGTCACATTTTGAATTGTATGCATTTTAATTTTATCCTGTTAGGCACAAATATAATTTTACTATTGTCATTGTTAAAAAAATTATGTATGGCTAAAGAGTTACATAAAAGTGTCAAGTTGCTTTGAAAAAG